CACCACTGCCCGGCTCGAAAAATAGGTTTTTTTATCTTTGCCATTGGAAAAGTCAATCCTGGTGCTTTATATTCCTGGTTTCTCTGGAGACCTGTGGGCACAAGAACCTTCGAGTTGGGCTCCCAGCATCTAGGTGTGCTGCCCAGTCTGTTCTTGAACTCAGAGGCTCAAATATGTGAGACCCATATCTGGGACAATAGGCATGCACCACTGTGCTCAGTTGGATAGTTTAAAACAACAGATATTTATTCTCTCACAGCTCTGGGATCTAGAGGTCAGAAATGAACTTCACAGGATTCTTTCCTTCTAGGAGGCCAATTCTTGCCTATTGCTAGCTTCTGGTCCACCAACTATCCTGCATCCCTCTCCTTACAGGAGCATCTCTTCATTCCCATCATCATATGGGGTGCTGTACCTGCCCCTCCTCCCCTTGTGGGCCACCATTCACACTCCAGTGTGACCTTATTTTCACCAAGGAGATCTACAATGACCTTATCTTCAACAGGGCCTTGTTCTGAGATGCTAGGGGTTAGGAGATTTTCTTTTTCTTTTTGTTTCACTTTTAAAACTTTTCCTTTTAAAATGGTCTTGTGTAGCCCAAGCTTATTTGAACCAACCAGGTAGCTGTCTTAGTTAGGGTTTTATTGCTGTGCAGAGACACCATGACCATGGCAACTCTTAAAACAGAAAACATCTATTTATGTTTTTTTAATTCATCTATTTATTTTATATCCTGGCCGCAACCTCCCCCATCCTCCCCTTCAAGGCCCTTCCCATCCCCCCTCCCACCTGCTAATCTCCTCCTCTTCCATCTCCATCCAGGAAATGGCAGGTCTCCCAAGAGTATCAATAAAGCATGGCATATCAAATTTCAGTAAGACTAAGCACCTCATGTATTAAGGCTGGGCAAGGCGATCCAATATAAGGAGCAGGGTCCCAAAAGTCAGTATAAGAATTGGAGACAGCACCTGTTCCCACTGTTAGGAGTCCCACAAGAGGACCAAGCCACATAACTGTAACATATGGGCAGAGTGTCTATGTCAGTTCCACGCAGGCTCCCTGATGGTCCCTTCAGGCTCTTCGAGCCCCTGTGAGTCCAGGTGAACCTGGTCTCATGTGACCAGATTGGTGCCTGGCCCAATTGTCACCAGAGAGGTGCCATCCAGCAACTGATGGAGGCAGATGTAGCGATCCACAGCCAAACATTAAGCAGAGTTCAGAATCCTGCAGATGAGGAGGAGGAAGGAGTGTAGGAGCCAGAGGGGTCAAGGACACCATGGGGAGCCTCACACAATCAAAGGGAAATATTTAATTGGGGCTGGCTTGTGGTTTCCGAGGTTTGTGGTGGGAAGCAAGGCTTCGTGTAGGCAGACACAGAGCTGGGCATGGAGTCGAGAGTCCTACATCTTGATCCACAGGCAGCAGAAGGGAAAACTGTGGCACTGACTAGACTTGAGCTTAGAAGACCTCAAAGCCCGCCTCCACAGTGACACTTCCTCCCACAAGGCCACACCTCCTAATAGTGCCACTGTATAAGGGCCAAGCATTCAAACACATGAGTATCTGTGGGGGCCATACCAAACCACCACAGGAGCTGAGGATGATCTTGACCTTTGAACTTCCTGCCTCCCCCTTCTGTGTGCTGGGATTCCACTGGCATGCCTGGTTTTTGAGGTGCTGGGGACCAAACCCAGGGCTCCTTCAAGTACAAGCACTCTATCAGCTAAGCTACACTTCCAGCTCCAAGAATTAGAATTAGCATATCTTGTAGGGGGACACAAACCCTAAGGCCCTAGAATGTGCTGTGCCGCTTAAGTTCCCTCAGTGGTCAAATTCAATATTCATTCTCCAGACGGCCCCATTGTGAGTGTGTGTGTGTGTTAGAGGGTGAGACGATCTCATCTTGATTGTTTTCCCCTATTCCCTCTAAAGGATATGTGGTGATGTCAGGCAGCTATGTAAACATTAGCAGACCTGGAAGACACAGGGACTGACTTATACCCAACAGCTTAGAAAACCAAGGACTAAAACTGCAGAACTCTATTGGCTGGTCAGAGGGATGAGGGCTGAGTCCTCTGGCCCTGGGAGATGTGACAACCTGAACTGTCTGGAAGGTTATTAATAGACCTGGTTCTGGAAGTCCTAAGCCTCATAAGGTCCCTGTCTAGCCGAAGGCATTCTGACAAAGTCTAGTGCATGTAGCAGTGAGCCCAAGGTTCTGTCTCAAGGCAGAAGGTGAGGACTGACAGCAGGAATTGTTCTCAGATCTCCACTTAGTATGCATGTGTCTGCACTCACAGGTTAGCAACACACACACACACACACACACACACACAGAGAGACACACACAAATACAGACACACACAGAGACACATACAGAGGCACACACACAGACCCTTTTTTTTTTTTTTTTTTTTTTTTTGGAGACAGGTTTCTGTATGTATCCCTGGCTGTCCTAACTCACCCTTAGACCAGCCTGACTTCTCACTCACAGAGAAGTGCCCCTGCCTCTGCCTGCCTGTGCCTCTGAAGTGCTGGAATTAAAGGTGTGTGCCACCACCACCCAGATACCCAGCTACTCTTTTTTTTCTTATAAAGTCAATCCAAAGAGGCACTTCATAAAAAATTTACTCAGGAAAACTTATCTGTTGTCAAGACTTCAGAAACAACATAAGGCCTGCCTAAAAAGTAGACAGGTGAGTGGTCCTTGGGGCCAGTGTTTACTTTCATGTCTTAGGCACGTGCTCTGCTCCATTAGGCAACAAAGGCATCACTAAGCAATGCAGCGATGTGTCTTGTCTCTTTTCACAGACATCTCAAGAATGGAGTAGGAGAGAGGATTCCAAACCAAGAGTCCAGGCAGGGCAGGGACGTCCCTAAAGGAAGGCATTGTATGACAAGTATATTGCTTACTCTGGTAGGAGGCCTAGTGAATCTAGTCAGTTTCAGCGACTTCCTGAAGCTATTCCGAGTTGTTTACCTTCCTGTTTAAGAAAGTTTCTGACACCATTTTGAGTTGCTTATTGCTTAAGGAGAGTCCTGTAGGATGGGACATTTCTGGAAACAGTAGCACAATAGGAGGTCTGCCAGGTGGTTACATTTTAGAAGCCGTGGGCATGATGGCTAGCCTAGGCATGGTGAGTCAAAATACTGAAAAGAGCCACACCTTCTGCAGTCTGGTTTACTGATTAGAACTTTGGAGTCACAGAGTGTTGGAGTGACTTATTTTTATGTATGTCTGTGTGAGGTGTTGGATCCTGGCGTTGCAGACAATGATGAGCTGCCATGTGGGTGCTGGGAATTGAACCAGAGTCATCTGGAAGAGAAGTGTGTGGTCTTAACCGCTGGGCCATCTATCTCTCCAGCCCCTACTGAACTGAACTTTGGTGGGACAGAGAGGTTGGAATATTGTAGGTTTAGAGTCAGGTTATTTTGTGGCATCTTCATACCCTTTAACAACAACTGTTTGCCCTGCTCTCTACCTGGCCTAACATCTGTAAGTCGTTGAGAATACATGAACAAACCCTTAGTTTCCAAACAACCAAAGGGCTGATTGCCCTCAGACCAGCATCTGAGGCCTATAGCCAAGATCTTTTTCCCTTCTCCTTTGCTGTTGCCTGATTACCTGGGATCCTCACCAGTATACTTGAAAAGTGCCTGGATTTATGACTTTTTTTTTCTTTTTGGTTTTTCAACCCCTAGCTGTCCTGAACTCACTCTGTAGCCCAGGTTCTGGCTTCGATATCACAGAGATCTGCCTGCCTCTGCCCCCTGAGTGCTGGAATAAAGGCCAGCACCACCACTGCCTGATGATTTATGACTTTCTTTGTTCTGTTGCTATAAAACCTTCATTAAGAGGCTGGAGAGGCAGGGCGTTGGCGCATGCCTTTAATCCCAGTACTCCGGAGGCAGAGGCAGGTGGATCTCTGTGAGTTCGAGGCCAGCCTGGTCTACAGAGTGAGTTCCAGGTCAGGCTCCAAAACAATACAGAGAAACCCTGTCTCGAAAAACAAAACAGAGAGAGGGAGAGGGAGAGGGAGAGGGAGAGGGAGAGGGAGAGGGAGAGGGAGAGGGAGAGGGAGAGGGAGAGGGGAGAGAGAGGCTGGAGAGATGGCTCAACAGAAGAGTATTTACCGCCCATACAGAGGACCAGGGCTCAGTTCCCAGCATGTACATGGTGGCTCAGTTTTCAATAATCCTTCTGGCCTCAGAAGGCACCAGACACACAAGTGGTGCACAAATACACTTGCAGGCAAACACGCATAAATCTTTAAATCAAAACAAAACGTCAAAATACACAACTTAGTCAAGCTGTTTACACGTTGGAACATGTAATAACCTACATCTATGCTCTAGAGCTAGGGTCTCTCGTATTTGACTCCAAGATAAACCATCTCTGATCTACCTTGCTCTGAGGGCTGCACTCAACAGCCCCTTCGACAATGCTCACAATGACTTCGTGAAGCAGGTATTTATAGACTTCAATTCCATGTTTTCTCCGTTTTGGAGAGATGAAGTTACAATGCGGCCTCAATTGGTGTTTCTTCTTCACGTTTTTTCAAAGTTCCCTGATATGCCGAACTGAGCCTCAATCTGGAGAAAACAGCCTGGAACAGCATCCTAAAGATGTAGATAACAAGCACCGGTCCCCAGTGTTCTGGCTCCAGCTGACTCTACACAAAGCGGATCCTCCCTAGGTTTCCGAGCGCGCTGGAGGAGCTGAGCGCTGATTGGTTCACGAGGCCGGAGCTCCGGCCCCGCCCCGCCCTAGCTCTCATCCTGGCATCATTATTGGCCAAGCGGCCTTGCGTGCAGAGCCGGCTGCCCCCCTTGGGCTCCGCCCCCTGAGCTCCGCCCCTTGGGTTCAGAACTTGCACCGGGTGAGGGCGACCGCCGAGGGAGCGTGACTGCTGGGCTCAGGGCTCTAGGACGCATTGTCGCTGTAAGTGCTGCCTCAAGCGGCCCACAGGCTTCGCGCTGCGCAGAGCAACGGTGGCCAGAAGCCGAACCTGTTAGGGGCTGGGGTACAAGGGAAAACAGGGTCCCAGGCTTGGCGTCTCCTTTCCACTCCCCTAGGGCACCTGGTAGCACTGAGCTGCGGCTCGGGCGGTGTCCTGGGTCGTGGACTCGACCGCCCGAGATCGTTTGGGGGAGTGGGCGGTTCGTAGTTCGCGCTCCCGGACAGCCTACTTCCGTTTCCCCAGGGAGACGCCCGTGCCCACGGGGAGAGGCAGCTGCGCATGTCGCTCCGGGAGTGTACCTCTCCGCCCCTGGCAGCATGGGACGCCCCCGGTCTCTGTGATCACTAGCCTCCCTGCACTGTTTGCTCTATTTGCCACAGTCCCAGCCTGCCAGGCCACCGTCGTGCTGGAGGTGAGCAGCCACTGGCAGCCAGCATGAGGTCTGGGGAATCCTGTCTTTGGCCACTGGCTACAGTCAAGGGCAGGTACAGACTGAGGATGCTCACTCGGGGCTCCCCAAGACTCAGAAACCCGGCGCCGACACGTCCGGCTCATTCCACAGCGGGCTCTTTCCCCAGGGTGGGAAAGTGGGTCAGCTCAGTTCTGGTCTCGAGAGGACCTTTGGGACTGCTGGGGTGCGAACAAGCACCGTGTCCCTTATCTCCCCACACCAGCTCTTGGACTTGGCAGGGTCCCGAAGCCTGGCCTGAGCCAGTAGTGGGGCAGCTCGTGCGAATGGCTCCAGAGGCTCCGGTTGCCCCACAGAGCGGCTGCCAGGCTCTAAAGTTCCCAGTTGACCATAACAGTAACTAAATATAGGACCATCTGGTGCGGCCGGAGTGTCGCAGTGGCTTCGTTGCAGAGATCTCAGAGCTGCAGATAAGGTAGTAAAGTTCTAGCCCTTAAGGGCTGGGTCAGAGTTTTGGTCAAGGTTTAAGTACCCCAGCCCTCTGTTTGGAATCTAGGTGAGACTGGTTTCTGATCTGGCAGAGAAATTGCACAGTGCTCACAATCACATCACAGCAGACTAGCATACCCACCTTCAATTTATTATGTGAAAACTTCCAGTTTATCCTTGTGTGATCACCTGTTGATTGGTCATGCCTTAATGTGGGAAGCCCTTAATGGCTTGCAAAGTCCTTCCTCAGAAGTGATTTGTCATCAATTAGTTTTCCTGACAGCTTGGATTAGTTGTGCCCCTCAGAGTACTGCCTTCTAGGAAGGCCTCCAGAGATCTGGAACAGACGGCAGGCCTCCTCTCAGGCGTGGCTTTGTCTCCCTGCTGCTGGCACCGTATGGTTCCTCCCGTTGGGTCATGCCACAGGCTTCCATGCCACCCTCCACCTCAGGCTACAAGTGTACTGGCCTGTAACTGGCTCATTTTGCCTGCTAGTGGGAAGCTTGTGCCAGCAAGCATGCCAAACCTGTGGCCTGCAGGCCCAGTTCGTCCCAGGAGTGAGTGCAGCTTAATGCACACGTGAATGACAGTGCCATGTTGCAGTGTTGGAAGGTGGGGCCACCTCTAGTCCCGATCCTGTCTTTGTCTTTTTATTGTCCAGGATGGATTTTGTAGATGGTGACTAGAAGATTTCAGATTTAAACATGCCCTGGGACTGTATTACAGACTTGAGGAAGGGGCAGGTGAGCAGGTGGGTAAGGCTTGTTCCGTCTGTCCAAGCACCTTGGGTTTTGGAGTGATTTCTTTGGTAATTTCTTCCTCCTTTTCCCTTTGGTTCCCTCCCTCCTTTCCTTCTTCCTTTGTTGAGACAGGGTCTTGCTCTGTAGCCTAAGCTGGTCTGAGACTGAAAATCCCCCTGCTTCAGCTTTCCTTGTGCTGGGACTATAGATGGGTGCCAGTCTCCTTGGAAGTTTCCGAGTCTCTCCCGCACAGTGGCTGGTCTGGGTGGCACTGGTTGTACTGAAGCAGTCATGCCCATGTGGGTGCTAGTTCCTGTTTTTTCCTGACTGTCTACTACCACCACCCTTACCAGATCTCTGCTTCTGGAATCCTACAACCTAGACCTGTGGGGCTGGCCTGGGGCCCATGGTCTGTGCTGTTTTCAGAGACATGCCTAGTGCCTTGATTGTTCCAATAGTGCTGATGTGCAGAATGTGAATGGACTCGAATTGTTTATATAGATTGGGCAGCCCACAGCCCTATCTCTGTTTGACTTGGACGTTTGTCTGCTTCTTTCTTTAAAACATTGAAAAGAAACAAAACAAAAACCATCTATGTGTCTCATTCCATCTCCCCCACTCCTCACCAGAGTTGGGAATAAACCCAGGGCTATGAGAAGGGTCTAAGTTGCCCTTGAACTTGCTCTGTGGTCCAGGCAGGTCTTGAACTTAACGATTCTCCCGTTCCAGCCTACTGAGTAGCTGGCATTACAGGCCTGTGGCACCAGACCCAGTAAGGACAAATGTCTTTTTCTCGTCATCCTTAGCCTATCTCTTTGAGCTTCTATTGGATATTAAACAAATCCCTGTTTGATTCAGCCTCTGGGGCCAAAGGAGCCACTAAGTGCCATTGGGTAGTTTTCTCAGTGCCTCTTGGCAGGCCAGGAGCCCACTCCAGCCCCATCAGGTTTGCTCTTCCTCAGCTCTGGAGCCCTGCGACCCTATCTTGGCTCCTGTACAGAATGTGACCTGCCCTTTCTCCATCTCGCAGTCCTGCCTGCTTTGTCGTCTGGCTTGGAAAGGTGCCCAGCTGGATTGGTGGAGCAATTCTCTCTTGTGGGGAGAAGCCTTAGGTGACATGTGGGTAGCTGTTTGGCCAGCAGTGAGTGTGGTAAATGTAGGCAGCTAATGTTTTAGGCGATGGTTTTAGATTTCCTTTGGGCAGTCTATGCACCCAGAGCATCCTTGAAGTAAGGGAGTCATTCTTTCTAGTAAGTTGGTTTGATACCCAGACTTTATATGTTGTTCCTGTCCATGCTTGCATGACCACTCTGACCCATACTGTGGGGTGTCAGAGTTTTCCTAGGGACTTCTTTCAACAGCCTACAGCAACATCTCCACCTGGTGATAGCTGGTAAAATTGCAGGCATAAGTGGTTAATTGACAGTCTAGTCTGTTTTGGGGCTCTTCCTGCTGTACCTTCTTCTCTCCTTTCCCCTCTCAAGTACTCATGATCGATAACCATAAATATTTATGTTAGGTATATAGGACATAAGAATAAAAGAAAAAAACAGGATTTAGCTCTGATTCTCGATTCTTTTGAAGATTAGATTTTGAAAGAACAGCTCCAGGACAATTTGGACTCAAAAAGATGGAAAGAAAAACTGTCAAGATGCCCAGGGCCTATTTTTTGAAACAGAGTCTTTTTATTATGTGGCTTTGGTTGTCCTGGAACCAGGTAGGCCTTGAATTCTCCTGTTGTGGAATATTATTTTAAGGTGTATTACATTTGTTTCTGCTGTGTAACATTTGTTTTAATGATGCAAAGATGTGTTGCATTCTTTTATGTTGCATTTGTTTAACTCTGTGACTGTGTTACTTTGCCTGTCTAAAACACCTGATGGTCTAATAAAGAGCTGAATGGCCAATAGCAAGGCAGGAGAAAGGATAGGTGGGGCTGCCAGGCAGAGAGAATAAAGAGGAGGAGAAATCTGGGAAAAGATCTAGGAGCGAGAAAAGGAGCCAGCCACACAGCCAGACATGGAATAAGAAGGAAAGAAAAATATACAGAAACAAAGAAAAGTAAAAGACTAGAGGCAAAAGGTAAATGGGATCATTTAAGTTAAGAACAGCTGACCAGAAACAAACCGAGCTGAGGCCAGGCATTCATAAGTAAGAATAAGACTCCGTGTGATTTTATTTGGGTACTGGATGGTGGGTCCTCCAAAGGCTAGAGTCAAAAGAGTAAAAAACAAACAACTGCACTCCCCAGGGCTGGGATTAAAGGTGTGTGCCATCATGCCCAACAAGAGAGAGAAGTTTTGGAAGCTCACAAACAACCCAAGTGACTTGTGCTTAGTCACTTAAGTACCATTGAAGCTCAGAGGGGGGAGGGGCTGCTGAGGTTGGAGTAGTCACGGCACACTTCCTGGGAGTGGAGCCCTGGGAACTGTACTCATTCCTCAAGGATGAGTTCTGCCCAGATGTTTGTTCAGAGTCCTGTGGGTCATACACACAACACTCAGCGCTGGTGTCACACCTGCACGTGTCCTCCCAGCTGGCTTTTGTTGAGCGTGAGTCCTGGACTCAGAGTGAGGCAGGCACACATGGGCTTTGCACGATCGTATATTCTCATCAAGAGAGGTGTTACTAGTCTCAGTGTTCTGTGTGGTTGAGGCCCCCTCCCACACGTCTCAGCTACTCAGTGGCAGAGTTGGACTTGGGACCTTTCCCATCTTCAGTGTGTTCTAGCCTTCCTGGGTCAGCTTCTTGGCGGGACACACGCCATCAGTCTCCTGGGTGAGGGAGGGGTGGGCTTGACTGGACCTGCCCTGCTTGGCCAGCTCTGGACACTGTCCCCATATCTCTTCTTTCTGCCTTGCCACTCTTCCGCCCCTGGCCCCTGACTAGGGTGACTTTGCCAGAGCTCCTTTGCTGGAGGGACTGTTGAATCCAGGACTGGGGACAGGGACAGGAGAGATGAAGAAGATGGCCTTTGGCATTGACCTTTGAGTTCCTTTCTCCTTGTGGTGTGGTGACTTCTGCAAAGAAGCAAATTCCGAGTGTGGCATTACCCAGACCTGATTGTGGCCCATTTGCCTTGAGCTTGTCCCCAGTACCTAGTCATTGTTTGTGCTTTGGTTTCTTTCTCTGTAATAACAGGGTTTCGGAGACATTTTATGACTTTTTTCATTATCTACCTATCATCCATCCATCCATCCATCCATCCATCCATCCATCCATCCATCCATCCATCACTACTTGAGAAAGGTTTTATGTAGCCCACGCTGGCTTTTAACTTAATGTAGTCAAGGATGACCTTGAAGTTTTAATCTCAAACTCCCTAGTGCTGGGACTATTGGGTGTCCCACCTTACCCTATTTGTGTGGTGCTGGGGATTGAACCCAGGGCTTTTGTGACTGTTTGGTTATTTACCAGATAACCTACATCCCCAGCTTATTTTCCCAATGCCCCATTAATTGCTTTCCTTGCCCATCTTTTCATTTATTTTATGTATATGGTGTTTCACCTGCATGTGTATGTGCACCACATGTATGTCTGGTGCCTGGTGCCTCCAGAAGCCAAAGAGTGTAGTTGTGAGTCCCTGCTAGGACTTGGACTCAGGACCCATGGAAGAGCAGCCAGCACTCTTAACCGCTGAGCCATCTCTCCAGCCCCCACACTTCTTTAAGTATCTTCTCCCCAGTGATCCAGTTACCCGGTTTCCCTCTTCCAGTGCTGCTTCTCTTTGCTTGTAGATAAATTCCACAGCAGCCGAGAATGAGGCCTGGGGGCTGACACCGTAACCTTCCTCCACTCTGGCATCCTGGCAGGGGATTCCTAGAGACCACCCACCTGCAGGCTCCAAGGTTCATTTGTCCTGGTTCTACACGTCTGCCATATAGTAGGAAACTGGTAGATGGGGCAGCGAGCAGGACAGCTGGCCTAGTTGTGTGGATTGAGCCCTGGCAGGAGGCTGCAGAATAGACAGGTGCCTTTTCCCAGCAGTTAGCTGGACCTGGCCTCTCCCTTAACACCCTGCCCTGCCTGTTGAGTCACAGGCCATCTGAGTCCTCATACCTGCCTGGCCACTGGTTCAAGCTCTTGTATTTGGTGAGGTCACATGTGTTGATCCTCTCAGGAAACTGGATAAAGCCCAGCTGCCCTCAACCTCTGGGTGGCAGATCAGAGCAGCCCCTGCAAAGGCTAAGCTGACATGACCTGGGCACTGGAGTACGTGAGTGGCCTGGGGACTTCCTTGTAGCCTCTTAATGACTTGAGTCCCCAGGGAGAAGAGTACTGGTCGTGGGACCCTGATTGGCAGGTGGGTGCTTCATGGTTCTGTGTCTTCCTCAGGCACAGACCCCTTTGTGAGCAGCAGACCAGCCTGGAGGCTGGGAGCCGGACATCCACGTCTGCATGCTGAGGAAGATGGGTGAGGCCGTGGCCAGAGTTGCAAGGAGAGTCAACGAGACAGTGGAAAGCGGCTCCGATACCCTGGGTAAGTGAGGCCTGGCTCCTCTACCGTGTGGCTTGCCTGTGAAGTCAGAGATGAGGGGGCTATCGGTGTGTGGCCAGGAGGACTGGCGCGCCGCGGAAGTTTTCCTACAGTTGTGGCTAGCCTGCGTCTCACCGTAAACGTTGTTCTTATTTTGGGTCCTGGCCAAAGAAATTGGAAGAGTGCTGAGCTGTGAATCCAAGTGTCAGTGAGCTGTGTGTGTGTGTGTGTGTGTGTGTGTGCAAGCATGTGTATCTGTGTGAGTGTGTGCTTGCACACGGGGCCACTCCCTCAAACTGCCTCAAAACATCAAACTGGCTACGCTTGAGTCACCCCATGCACGGGCCCCATGCCAGGAGCCTCTTTTTTTTTTTGGTTTTTTGAGACAGGGTTTCTCTGTGGCTTTGGAGGCTGTCCTGGAACTCGCTTGGTAGTCCAGGCTGGTCTCGAACTCACAGAGATCCACCTGCCTCTGCCTCCCGAGTGCTGGGATTAAAGGCGTGCGCCACCAACGCCCAGCGCCAGGAGCCTCTTGAGTGTGTGGTGAACAGTACTTGCTAGTAACAGCTAGCCTGTGTGAGCTTTTGGGTTCACCCAGCCGGAAGACACTTCCACACTCTGATTTTGTGACATGTTTTTTTTTTTAATTTGAACTGATCATAGCATTTTAGCATTTTATTTACCTTGAGACTCCCTAGCATTGAAGCAAACCATCCATCTAGTCGAGTTCTGCAGTTGTAAATGGCAGGAGAGTAAACAGTTATGTCTGTGTATGCACGAGTTTGTGTGTGCCTTTGTGAGGTGAATGATTCATGTGTTCTGCACACACACACACACGAGTGTGTTGTGTGTGTGTGTAAAACTCACAGGGGTATCAGTGTCACTGAAGAGACATAGGCATGTTGGGCTAGAACACAGTCTTGTCTTGGAGATGACAGTGCATATAGCTTCGATGGGCTTAGTCAGTGGAGAGGAATTTTCCAGGCGTGTGAGGGTTTGTGTGCACATGTATATGTCTGTATAACAAGGAAGCCTGAGTGGACACCCAGCCGTGAGCTCCCCATCAGGTGTGTCTGGAATACGTCAGAAGGTGACAACCCAGGAACTAGAGAGACAGTCAGTCTTCAGATACGCTTTGGTCACTGCCTCTTCCAGGAAGCCCTCAGTATTCCCCATTCCACTCTTCTTCCCTCCCTTCCTCTTCTGTAGTGACCCACTTGTCATTCCCAAGAGAGCAGGGACACTGATTTTTTTTCAACATGTATCTCTGGCTGAAGTGGAATGCTATGTGGATCAAACTGGCCTCAAACTCACAGTGATGTGCCCGCCATTGCCTCCTTAGTTCTGGTATTAAAGCCATGTGCCACCATGTGCAGTTGACCCCGTGGTTTTCTGTCCCCTCTCTGTGAACCTGGTACGGCAGTTGGCACTATGATGGCATGTGGAGGGTTTGGTAAGCTGAGCTGAGGGGTGATATGTAGTCTGGAAATGGAAGGTTTCTGCTGGCTTTGGAAGGGACCCTTAGGCATAGCCCCTCGGTAGAGTTCTGGAGTCTTACCCCAGCAAACAAGACTCCACCAAGCTTGGGCTTTTGGGTCCTTGGACTGTTGGGTCCTGAGTGTCAACCAGACTCTGCCTAGTACTAGCTTGGCATCTTAGCAGGTCACCTACCCTGTCTGAGCCTTGATTTCTTCATCTATAAAGTGGGGATGGTAATTGTGTACTCCTCTCAGGGTGGTTAGGGACAATTTTGTCCTCTCAGAGCAGTTAAGGACAATTACATCTGTCACTTGCTTGGCATGCAGGGAGCTCAATAATGGGCAGCTATTTTTTTAAAAGATATATTTATAATGTGTAGTGTTCTGCCTGTATCATGCCTGCACACCAGATCTCACTATACGTGGTTGTGAGCCACCATGTGGTTGCTGGGAAATGAACTCAGAACCTCTGGAAGAGCATCCAGAGCTCTTAACGATCCATCTCTCCAGCCCCTGCAGCTATTGTATTTATTTATTTTCTCATACCCAAAGGTGGTGGAGGTGGAGGCTAAGTCCTTATTGGTACAAACGCACCTCCACAGGTGCCAGTCACTCGGGTCACATGGGGCCTCCTTCACATTCCCTCTGAGAGTCAGACAGTTCAGTACAAGGTGGCATGTCTCTAAGGTGATGTGTTGAGGAGCCCGGGCAGCATCTTCTCATCCAGATCCAGATCCTGTGAACACAGGGTCGTAACAGTGCTCAGGAGGGAGAGCCGGAGAGGGAGACCTGAACTCTGACCCCTGAAGCTTCCTGGTGGAAGAGGCACCGTGAGGAGACAGGAGGAAGGGACTGGATGCAGCTGAGTTAGGAGAGGAGAGGCCTTTGCTGAGTTAGTTGTTGCTCCAGCTTTCAGAAGTGTTGTTCAGGGGTTATACTCCCCAACTTTGTGAAATCTGGACCTCTGTAAACCAGAGAGATTGCAGATGCACGTGTCTCCATGGTCAGGTGCAGATGTCAGCGGGCGAGAGTGGGTTCTGTCTGGGTGATATGCGTGGGATGGAATAATTCTGGTAGAACATGGCACACCAGCTTCTGCACCAGCTAGGATCCATGCCCCACCAAGGATCCAAAAACAGGCCTCCAGGCACCATACCAGACCACCACAGGGCCTGGGATTAGAGCCCCTGCCTTGGGCACCAGAGCAGAAACCCTCACTGTACCACACAACCTTGGAGTAGGGTGGTAGCTGGTGATTGCCAATATCCTGGGTGCAGCAAAGCTCCAGTGGAGAGCTTTCATTCATGGAAGTCCTGCTGAAGTTGGAAACTTTCCTGTGGTGGAGACTGGGCCCTTAAAGTGTCAAGCTTGGAGTGTACAGGGCTTTTTACTGCTTTAGTGACCATAGACGCAAAATGTGGGACCTGGCCATTCTGAGCTACCTGTAAGTTTGGAAGGTGACCTTGACCAGGCTCAAACAGTGTGGAGGAGCTGGGTTTTAAGAAGTCTGCTCTTATTGAGCACCTACTGTGTGTCACCTGTCTGAAAAAGAACAAAAACAAGACCTAGGTTACGTGGCTCAGTGTGTAAAGATGCTTGCCACCAAGCCCAAGGACCCAAGTTTAATTCCCAGGACCCCCATTGTGGAAGGAAAGAACCAACTCCTACAGGTTGTCCTTGGACCTCCATGTGGTTCTTGTGACATTTGGGTGTACACACACGTATGTATGCACACACACACACACACACATACACACACTTGTGATTTTAGAATATTTTAAAAAATTATTTATTTTTATTTTATGAGCATTGATTGGTATTTTGCCTGCATGTATGTCTGAGGGTGTCAGATCCTTTGGAACTGGATTACAGATAGTTGTGAGCTGCCATGTTGGTGCTGGGAACTGATCCCTGGTCCTCTGGAAGAACAGCCAATGTTCTTAACCACTGAGCCATCTCTCCAGCCCCTGATTTCAGAATCTTTGAGGAGTTTTTTTCTTTTCAGTGCAGAGCTAAAGAAAGGTAAGACAGATTAAGAAAGAAAAGAGAAAGTAGCTTTTGCCCTAGTTCACCCTTTTACTGAAAGTAGCATACTTCAAAAACCTCAGCTTCAGCTGGACGTTGGTGGCGCACACCTTTAACCCCAGCACTGGGGAGGCAGAGGCAGGCGGATCTCTATGAGCTCGAGACCAGCCTGGTCTACAAGAGATAGTTCCAAGCCGGGCGGTGGTGGCACACGCCTTTAATCCCAGGACTCGGGAGGCAGAGACAGGCGGATCTCTGTGAGTTCGAGGCTGGGCTGGACCGATAGCCTCCAAAAACAATACAGAGAAACCCTGTCTCGAAAAACCAAAAAAAAAAAAAAGAGAGAGAGAGAGAGAGAGAGAGAGAGAGAGAGAGAGAGAGAGAGAGAGAGAGAGAGAGAGAGAGAGAGAGTTCCAGGACAGCCTCCAAAGCCACAGAGAAACCCTGTCTCAAAAAACCAAAAACCAAAAAACCAACAACCCCAGCTTCCTGCAGGGACATAGCCTTAGCTTGGTACCTTGAGGCCCTGAGCGACCATCCTCTCTCATCCAGAGGTGCTGGAAAATTAGTTCTGCCGTCCCAGTTCCTCTACGCACCAGGAGAGTGCTCTGCCAATCCTGACTCATTTAATTGTCATGAGAACTTGATGATGTTCACATCCTGTTGTAAAGATGATGAGACAGACAGGAGTGGGTTTTGTTTTGTTATCCAGCAGGGTCTCTGACTGTCCTGGAACTCTCTCTGTAGACCAGGCTGGCCTCAAACTCACAGAGACCCATCTCCCTCTGCCTCCAGAGTGCTGGGATTAAAAGCGTGTGCCACCACCACCCGGCTAGATAGAAGTATTTTAAAGTGTGGTTTCTAGCATTCTGCTGCTTAAAGGTGTCCAACCTGTGCCCTCTTTTTTTTTTTTTTTTTTTTACGAGACAGGGTTTCTCTGTATTGCTTCGGAGGCTATCGGTCCAGCCCGGCCTCGAACTCACAGAGATCCGCCTGCCTCTGCCTCCCGAGTGCTGGGATTAAAGGCATGCGCCACCACCGCCCGGCCCAACCTGTGCCCTCTTTAAGGTTGCCTTTTGTTTTTAATTTTGTGACAAGGTGTCACTATGCAGCCCAAACTTACTAGACCCACAACTCATTATATATTAACCTCAATGTATAGCCCAAGCTGGCCTTGAACTTACAGTGATCCTCCTCAGTCTCCTGTGTAAATACAAGCGTTTATCATGTCATGTGGGAGTTTTACGGAGCTCAAGCTAGAAAGAGTGTGCAGGTGATTTGATGGTGACCCAGGTGAGTAGAGGTGAAACCTTAGCTCATCTAGCTCTGTGTGGTTCATACCCTGATGTGACAAACACCTTGATACCCCTATGGGGGTGCAGAGATAAAGAGATGGTCTGAAAGCTGAGCAGCTAGAGGCTGCCTTACCCCAGACTGTCTCCTCTCATGCCCCAGAAACACCTTTGTGAGCCTACCTGTTCATTTCCTTTCCTTCTCATT